AAATTGGGTTGCTTAGTAGAATTAGTTTAGTTTGTAGTAGTTTATACCACAAAGTTTTATTTTGCCACGTTCTCAACGTACATCACTTCATTCGCCTGTAAACCATATTTTACGTACTGTACTTCGTACTCTGTTCCTGGTACAAATAAAGAAATACGTAACCATAAGAATGATATGCATTACGTTAACGTTAACGTTAAACAACACTGCACAAAAAAAGTAACCTTGATTTTCTAAAAAAGTGATTTGTATTTTTCGGTAACCAAATAAGGTAACAATGTAATGATTATATAAAAAAAATTGTGAAATCTTCGTAAAAAAAACAAATAAAACGATACAATTAAAAATAAAAATAAAAACAGCGACATAATCATAATAATAATAAGATAATATATATTATTTCTAAACAATATAAGTATTTCATTGATCATAATAATAAGCTTTCGACAGTATTTCAAAGGATTTACTGAAGATATAAATATAAAGATTTTCAGTTTACTTAAGTAATTGCATTAAAACTCTTGTGCAATGTGGTAATATAAACAGTTTAAGAATTACTTCCTTTTCGGTATTAATTGTAGGCAATTTTGATATTTCTTTTAAGTATCATAAATCACTATTATTTTATTGTAATAATACTGTAATATAAGTTGTAAATATTATCATCAATATTTGTTATTCTAGGAATTAATCTAAAAATTAATCAATTTACTGTCTTTAGGAAACAAAAATTATGCTTTGAATAATATATTTTGTATTCAAGAAGTAATTTTATTCCGAATACAGAGCATCTGCTTTGATAGATTACAACTGTTTCCATTCATTTAGCATTAGTATTTTTATAACAATAGACATAGTTTGAAGAGACCAATAACAGACAATAAGTATAATAGAGTTATTCGAATTCATGTCATTCGTAATGTTATTTAATAAGAACTATTGTAAATATCATGAGGCATATTCATTTTTAGGGCTTTTTTTTTTTTGTTTAAAAATTTTTTATTATTTAAATTAATAATCATTAATTATAAAAATTACAAATTATATAAATATTTATATATCTACAATAAATTTCAAATTAATTTGTTAATAAACTAAAACTAGAAAAATGTTCTTACAATAAATAAACGGTATGTAAAATGTTATTATGTGTAAGACATTAAATTGTATTATCTAATTATCATGTGTAAGACATTAAATCGTAATATCTAATTATCATGCATCAAAACTATAATATTGAAAAATTTTGCTCATACCATATTCAGTTATATCTAATTTTCTACCATGCACTCTATCAGGTCTAATTCTTCCTCCTTGAATCTCACGAGAATAATACCATCTTCTGCCATAGTTTACATCAACTTTCCATCCATCAACTGCACAAAGTTTTTTAAGTAGAAATTGGCTCATTTCGATCGTGTGAATCGAATGATTACTTTTTATTATGCTAGAGAATATACTATTTGTATTTAATAAATTAAAACATGGAATTGATGTAAGATCAATATATTGTAAATTTGGTATTGTCATTAAAAGATCTTTAATAAGATTTATATTGGTAATTTGAGCTTTTGAAATTCCAAGATTTTGTAATGATAAACAATTCTCTTTAATTGCTGTTAAAATCAATGGTGTTATCTGTGAAGATCCGATATCTAATGTCTTGAAATTTTTTATGTTTGGTGAATGGAGTATAGTTATTAAATCACATTCTTTAATAGCGGTAGTAATATCTCTTTCTCCATAAAGATTAAGAGTCTCCAATTGAGAACATTTAGAAACAAACGATGAAATAGCATTAGATGAAATGTTTTTACATTTAGCTAATAGTAAATGAGATAATTTAGTTGGTGCTTTGGTTCTAGTTAAGAAGTTTAATGTTAAATCACTGATAGAACAACCACCTAAATCTAGATGTGTAAGATTCGGTGCGTGAGCAAGAAGAGGTATGATAATTAAATGTTCCGAAATTATTGGACATTCATGAAGTGAAAGTCTTTGTAAATGGGATAATAAAGGTTTGCTATCCATTTGAAAAGTAACTGTTGTCTCAGCATTATCATTGTTATTTTGATTAATTTTGATACGACCAATTAGACTTGAGAATTCTTCTAAAGCATTACCAAATTGTTTACTGGCACATCCGCAAAAATCAATGATTTTAATGTTTTTACATTCTAAAAATAAGACTTTTAAAACATCAAGAGTAATCACGGATTCTAAAGATTCTGATATAGAAAAAGCCTTTAATTTAGGGAAAGACCTTAGAATATGAATTAAAAGTTCTGGTGTAACAACATTTTGAAAAGTAGAAGAACTCTTTTGTAGCCCACAAGTTGAAAAGGTGGAAAGATCTAAATGACGAACCATTTGAGAACAACGTTTCTTAATATTATTCGTTGCATTAGCGAAAAGTGTAAATGTATAAGGAAATGTAAATGCGACAGTATGATATAGAATGGGAGTAGCGTGAAGGTTAAAAGTATAATTAACCAAAGCACAAGCTGCAAGTGTTTTCTTATCATCTCTTAATAAATTAAGGATGATACGAATGATTTCGGGAGGAATGTAAGGAACTGGTGTAACAGTTTTCATCGAAACAATTTGATAATTAGTGAAAGGATAAGTGTATAATTGAGGTAAAGTTGGGCCAGCCATTTTTAATGAGTAGAAATCATTAATTAAATTTAAAAAGAATGTGTTAAAAAGATTGACAAATTTTTGTACTTAAAAAATGTTTATTAATGCGTCAAAATAGATAAGCGAAATTTAGTGTCTTTTATAATTACGCTAAGACAAGAACTCATTCAAATATTTCTAATGATTTTTTATTATTTACTGAAATGGAAAAGATTGAGAGCGCTCAATTGATCCCCTTTTGTAGGTTAATACATATTATGAACAATCATAAATAATTTGCGTTTCATCTTATACAATGTTTAACTCTAATTTTTTATTGATGGTTACACTAAAGTTTTATTAGAAAAAAAAAAAAACTAGTAATACTACGTAGCACTAGGTGACACTGTGCCACTAAATAATGATTAAAGTCATTAATGTAGTATCTCCGCTGTCGCGGTTTATGCTAATGTTTATTATTGTTATATTCAAAACGAGAATTAGTTTTGTTCTCAATATTTAGACATAACGATAATTAGAATCTTCATTCAATGATTATAACAAAAATGTAATTTGATTATACCAGTACGATCACATGAATATGTAACATGAAATGTGTGAGGGAAGGTTCCGTTCAACTTTTTTTGTATGTTCACTATGCTGATTTTGAAAAATCCTTTTTTGGTAGAAATATTGATTTTCATTTATTCATTTTTAGAAAGTGTTAATACTTTACAGATTATATAACTATGCCATTATATTATTGTGATGTAATAGCTTACGAACTGCTATATATATATGAATATGAGTGAGTGAAAATAATAAACGTGAGAAAAATAATCTATCTATGTCATTT